AAAAAAAAAGCTTGCAAGTGGCCATCTAAGATCCAACAATGGGTCTCTCCTCATCCAAAGCAAAGAAGAATGAAGAAAACCAAACATGCATGGAAACAATTAGTCCAAGGGACTGGCAGGCCATGTGATCCTCAGCCTATATGCTATGAGACCAGAAGAACTAGATGGTACCCAGCTACTACCGCCAACCACACAGAGGGGGATCTATCTATATAGGAGATCCTGGATAGAGTGGGGGAACAATGTGGAACAAAACTCAAAATCATGGAAAAATAACCTAGTTCACTGGTCTGATAAGAGCCTGGTGAGACCTCCAAGACTATGGCCCCTAGTGACCCTTCGGGTCTGAAACTGAACTCAGTTCCATGGCTTCAAACAATTAAGACAGGCATATAGTATGAACATATACATTAGGTAGATACACTCCTTAGAGTGATCAATTGTGAGAGAATAGAAGGGCAGTGTTTGCACAGGGAGAGAGGGGGGGGGGGGGGCCAGGAATGCACAGGAAAGAAGGACACAGAGAAGAGGCAACTACAGAAAGGAAGTGGGAAGAGAGCTGTTACACTGTGGGGAATTGCAGGCAATGTCATGAAACAAAATGTGTATGAATTGCTGTATGGAAAATGAATTTGATCTGGAAATTTCACCCAATTTAAATAAAAATTAAAAGGAAAAACAAACATGCTTAGGTTAAATCTTGACAGCTTATTAAAGGAAGCAAAGATTCTCTTCAAAGAACACAACAGTTTTACCTTGGGGAGATTTACCCTAACTAAAGTAAATGTAAAGTCCTACAATAGTAAAAAATAGCTATCAATATGCCCAAACATCAAAGATCTCATATACAAAAGTAAAAAAATTTACAGAAAAAAAAAAATCTGAAATACTCACTATAGCTCTCTGTGTTCAATTAATTATCAAGGTCACACAATAACCATAAAGAGAAAATAATTGTATTTAACTTTAAAAGAAGTCATGGAACATAAACTAAAATACATAAATTTTAAAACCACCTGTTTAAAAGATCAAATTATCAGGCAAAATGGACATTCACATTATGTAACTAATATAATTTCCATCTGTATGTTAAACCCACAATCAAGGACCGACAGATTTTAGGGAGTACAGAAGTGAGTGGTAATATGTGTTGAACTTACACTCAAAATTTAGCTCTGAAACACCCAAGGTTTTCATATGAACTTAAAGGCTCTTTTATCAAATATAGAAGTATGATATTTAACCTGAAAGAACTATGTATTTTCAGTACATTATTCTAGCTACTGAAGCCTGTGGGGGAAAAAAAAAAACTATCACTATTCTCACTTTGCAAAAATGAGCAAAGATGTCACTTTGAAAACTAAAGGTGCACCTAACCCAGTTCAGGGTATTTTCAACAGCCTCAGATGCATGTGAAAGGGGATAATGAAAAAGGAAGACCAAAGAAGAATTAATTTCTTTGAATTGTGGTATTGGTAAAGAATACTGAAAGTACCAGGGCTGCCAGAAGAAGAAACAAATTCTGGAAGAAGTGCTGCCGAATGCACCTTAGAAGCCAGAATAGGTAGAGTTCATCTCACCTATCTATTTTGGTCATGCTGTCAGGAGGAACCATTCCTTGGAGAAGGATAACATGCTTGCTAAAGTGGAGGGTCAGCAAAAAAAGGGGAAAACCCTCAATGAGATACAAAGACACACTGGCTTCAATGATGGGCTCAAGCACAGCAAAGATTGTGAGGACGGCACAGGACCAAGCAGTGTTTCATTCTGTTGTACACAATAGGGTTGCTATGAATGAGTCAGAATCGATTCGACAGCACCTAACAACCACAACAACAAAAGTTTACAATATGCTGCAAAACCAGAAAAGATTAAAAGAATATAAGTATGAAATTTGTTTAATTTCAAAAATCTATAAATATTAAAGATTTCCTACAATATTACTAATCAAATAAACTGATATCACACCAGCTGTATTTTGAGTGTTTCTTAAAAACCTCACATGAGCAAAAAAAATAAAATAATACATGGCTAAAATAATCTTGAGTAACCTGTCTTCAAATTGAAGACTGCCACATATCCATAACAGAATTTTTCCTATATGAATTATTTTTTGTAAAAAGTGGGAAAAGAATTAAATCATATTTTCCACTAATTCTCAAAGGGTATTTTATTTTTGCTAAAGAGTCACAATCGACTTGTCAGCAGTGAGTTTTGTTTTGTTTTTAAATCAATCTAAAACAAAACCAAACCTACTACTATGGAGTCAAAAATTCTGATTCACAGCAACCCTTCAGGACAGAGTGGAATTGCTCCATAGGGGTTCCAAGGCTGTAAATCTTTACAAAAGCAGACTGTCTTATCATTCTCCCACAGAGCAGCTGGTGGGTTTGAACTACCGACATTTTGGTTAGCAACTGAATGCTTTAACCACTATGCCACCAGAGTTCCATCTAATCAATCCAGGCCTTACTAATTCAGTAACGGTCATTAAACATTTTTCTCTTGTTATATATTACTTTTTAAGGCTATAAAGCCTATAAAGCATTGCCTGCTCCCACAAGTTTAAATTCTCTGATAATATCTAACTCAGCTCTATAATATTCTTTTACTTTGAAAACCCAACAATTTGTCACTAATTGTCACACTTCAGTGCATTTGCTAGCCTTAGATAGGAATATACTCAAAGCTGTGCAAATTACACAAACTTCACTTCTAACATTACATTTATAGATATCTGAATAGTAACATATAATTGAATTCAATTTGCCAAAGCAAATCAGCTCTAATCTCATAAAGATTTCCTCAGACATTAAAATAATCAGTGCTTAAAAGAAAGTTAAAAGAAGATAAAGGAAAAAAATGAAGTCATATGTATAGTAAAATAGAGAATTCATTTAAAAACCTAAATTATATATTAACCACAGTACAAAAGAATGAACAAGATATATTATTCACAGGCAGCCTCCTACCTATGATCAAATTTGTTTCAATTCAATATTATAAATGAAATTAATAAAGCAGTAGACTTAAATTTCTTTCTATGGGTCTAAAACTGAGAGGATAAAGCACTTTCCTAACATTCTCTTATTAAGTAAAAATAGAAGAGAAATTCCTTTATGATCATGCTCCACATCTCTTTTAGTGCCTTGATAAATATGTATCATACAGGAAAATGTAAAGTTTTAAATTAAAGATTATTTTCAGTATGTTTTCAATTTGAATAGATCATAATATGCCTTCCAAGTCCCACACACTTAATAACTTGAAAATTTTTTATATAGTTAAGGCAAAGATTCAAGATTAGTCACATAAAATATTTGTCATCATTATCACTTTATAAAAAGAAACACATACCATTCAATCCCCTCAATATTTTAAAATCAATCTCATTTTCCCCAAAATGACCGTTACTGTATTCCATCTAGCCAAAAGAATATAGCATCTTTGTAGTCTATCCTGGTAATCAGTGTTTAGATACCAATGCAACTGTTCAATGGCTCAGAATCAAATACTGTAACAAAACATATTGAGTGGATCCTGCAAGCGTGTGTATCATTCATAATAACATAACTCTGGTCATACACACACAAATTCAACTTCTACTGAACACTAAAACATCTCTACGTAACACAGGTTACAATAAAATTGAGCTCTGTAATGTTCAAAGAAAAAATTTCTAAAGCGAGGGATGAGAAGAGTTGGATTGCTGCCACCTATTAACTTCAATTCAAAGTACAACTGAATGTCATCTTTACTTTTAATGCAGCCAAGACTGAAACGAAATTAACTTCCTTAGGAGGTAAAGTATCCTGACATCCCCAAAAGACTATTTACTGCTCTGATTTGACAGTACACATGTGTGGAGTCTTTTGTCCCTCCAACGGCATCCCAGGATGTCGATATCATCAAAGTCAAACCAAATGGCAAACAAATCCCTTAGGTCATTATTTCAATACTCTAGCCACGAGAAAGTCATGGCCTTCACTGTCATTACTACACATCAAACAGATCCTATAGTCGCATTCCCTCTTCTATCACATTTAAGCAGACAGGGTGGGAAAGAAGCGCTCAGGATTTGGTGAGAATTCTCTGTTCAGTCCCGGTACCTGAAGCAGCATGAGTACAAGTGATATGTGGGTCACCCACAGAGAGAGAAACAGAACGAAGCTTCGTGACCCTCCAAGTTTAGTGGAGACACCAAAAACGTCGGGGGGGGAAAACGTCGGAGAAATGGGGCCGAACCAGAACGGTCTGAAGTGAAAAGTGACTGGGTCTGGCACAAGCCCAGGTCGTGCGTAGCGACCGAGTCGTCTCTCGTACCTCTCCCTTCGTCACCAGGGTCGGTCAATTGGCCAGGGGTGCGGTCCGAGGAAGGGGTCAGGCCTGGGGGAGGGCGGGGCCCTGGGCTCCCCTAGGGCTCCCCGGGGGATGGGGGGGCGTGTCCTACCTGGGCCGTGGAGGACGCAGGGATTGCGGGCGGAGGGCTCCGACCGGCTCACGGCCCGGACCAGCAGGGGTCAGCCCGCAGGAGGCGGAACCTTCGCCGCCTGCCCATCACCCGCCGCTCGACTGCGGCGGGACCCGAGCGCGGGTTGGAGGGCCCGCCGGCTATGTAGTACCCTCGAGTACCGTCCGCCTTTACTGGCGGCGGCGGCGACTGCTCTTACTGCCGTTGCTGGCCGCCCCCAGCCGCTGCTCTCGTGCCAGCCGCTGTTTCTCTTCCTGCCACCGCCGCCGCCGCCTCGTCCCCACCGCTCCCATCACCGCTGCGGCGACTACTGCAGCGCCCGCTGACCCGACCCGACGTTATTCTCCCCCTTCGCAACCCAGCACAGCCTAGCCCACCTGCCCTGCCAGTACGCACGCCCACCTCTCCGCCACAGATGCTGATTGGAGGACGCGTTCCGAGCACTACACGTCGGTTGGCTAGTCCCATTGCCTATTAGAAAGGGGGCGGAGAATAGGGCACAGAGCGTCTCCGCCCCCCACCGGAGAAATGCCACTACCTTCAGGTTTGCCTGAGAGGACGAGTTACCGGGAAAGGAGCATCACAATGACAGTGCGCATGCGCCTGGGAATTCTGGGCGTTGTAGTTCCTGCCACAGCCGCAGCTGCCCGCCTGTCCGGAGAATAGTATTTGGCGCACCTGGGTGTGTTGTCCTGCTTCTGCCGCTGACTTGGTTGTAGAGGAATGGTTGTGACTCCAGAGTTTGCCTTTCGGTAATGTTTGTCACTGCAAATTTATACACTGCCTGGACGATGCAACGAAAAACCCCAGTCGTGAGGCCCTGCCCTGCCTTAAGGGATCTTAAGATCCCACCTCCTCAGAACCAGAGCTGCCCTGGATTTGGCCGATTGGTGCTGTCCCCTAAACTGTCTCAGAATAAAATAAAAGAAAAGAACACTGCCATCGAATCATTCCGACTCACAGCGACGTCCTTTGAGTTTCCGAGGCGGTGAGTCTTTACGGAAGTAGATTGCCCAGTCTTTCTTCCATGGAGTGGCTGATGGTTTGAACCGCCAACCTCCTGGTTAGCAGTCAGATCCCTTAGGCGCTACACCACAAAAGCTCCTAGAAAGTAGCTTAACACGGAGTAAATCACCGTTGGGTACAGAGGAAAGTCCTGAAGGTCTGAGGAGGAAAGGAGACTGAGTCCTGAAAAAAGGAAAGTCAGCCTGGAGCCAGCATATACTTACGGTTTTCACAACCCACCAAGAACAAGATTTCATTCTTTTTTTGAAAACCAGCTAAGGGTTCGATCAGCAACCGCCATGCGAACTAGTACGGGATTCCAAGAAGAGTATTCTGAAGTCCCTCAAAAGAATTTCAGAGAGTGAAGATAAACTCCTTGGAGAAAACAATCATGGGAGAAGGAAGGGCTGTTTATGCACAGGGAGACAGCTCAGGGGGCAGGAGTACATGGAGGGATGGACACAGGGAAGAGGTAACTATGAGGAGGAAATGGGAGGGGAGCTGTTGCATAGGGGTAAATTGTAGTCAATGTCATGAGACAACTTGTGTGTGAACTGCTGTATGGAAAGTGAATTTGCTCTGTAAACTTTCACCCAAATCACAATTTAAAAAAAAGAAAATTTCAGAGAAGCGAGGAAGGCGGAGCAGTGAGACTGTGGGATAAATTTGTGTTTGGTGTTGTGTCAGCCTCTTTGGTGAAGAGGAACACCTTAAACCCTCTCCCATCCTTACCCACCAATTTACAGAAAAGAAAACTCAATTAAAGAGGTTAAACAACTTTCCCAAGGCTATAAAATTAATTCGTGGTGGAACCAAAATTCAAATATCTTAAACCTTCCTTGTTCCATGCCCTATCTACTTAATAATCACAATTACTCCCAAGTGTCTGCAAAAGACTGAAAGGATGCAATGAATTATTTAATTTAATTTAAATTTTTTTTCCTCAAGTGACATTATGATTAAAATTGATTATGAATATCAAAGGGTTAAATATAAATCCTACAATCAATCCCAGAACTGTTCTTATAGACTGTGGTTTCTTCTTGTTCAGGAAATGCCACAGTCCCTTGACATTCTTTAAAAAACAGCAGGCGCGGCTCCTGTCATACCCAGATCTTTGCATAAAAAGCAGGACAAAATGTACATTAAAGGCAATTGATGATGCAGCTCATCTTGTTCTATTCAAACTTAGAGAAGTTGCCAAATTGTTTTCATTCCACGGAATAAAACCTCAAGTTGCTTTTTCCATTACTTTGTCAAATAGAATATAGTTCACTTCAGAGTATTGGACCAGCAAGTAATTTGAATAGAAAGGGATGAAGGTTTCTGTAAATATTTTTCTTTAAACTTGAAGGAGTTAATAGTGGTGTGTGTGTGGGGGGGGGGGACACAAGTACATGGGTAGAAAGAAATATCCAGATATATTGAAATTGAGAATTGTTATATCTAACAGTAAGTATTTCAAGTGGCTTCACTCACTATTTGAAGAGAATATTTGTCACTCACTTAGCAAATGCTGTGTCTTCTGCAAGCTACCTACATGCCATTTCTGTTGTCATGGGAAGGGGTTTAATGAATTTATCCTGTGAGCTACTATTTTGTCCATTTTAAATGAGTCAGTAGTAGACTGGATTCTCCAAATGATGAAACAATGTTATTCATCTGATTATTATTTTATAACCAACTCTAACTTGCAAATCCATGAAGGATATGACAAATACAAGAGTATGTGAGAAAGCCAGCCAGTGACCTGGACGGAGTGAGTAGTTGAACCTGTGGGTTTGAGACCATAGTTGCAGGGGACATCAAGCTCAACTGGCATAACATACTACACAAAAACATTGTTCCACATCCTACTTTGGCAAGTAGCAACTGGGATCTTAAATGCTTACAAGTGGCCATCTAGATGCAATGATGGATCTCTCCTGCTGCAGAGCAAAGAAGAATGAAGAAAACCAAAGACGCACAGAGACAATTAGGTACAGGGAGATGTCTGGGGGCAGGGGAGGTGGAACAGAAGTGCATGGCAGGGAAGGACACAAGGAAGAGGTAACTATGGGAAGGAAGTGGGAAGAGAGCTGTTACATTGTGGAAAATTACAGTCAATGTCATGAGACAAAGTATATGTGAACAGCTATATGGAAAACGAATTTGCTCTGTAAACTTTCACCCAAATCACAATTAAAAACAAAAAAAAGTATGTGAGAAAGCAGTCTAGTAGAAGTACATCAAGAGTTAGAAAGGAAAGTGCAGAGGGAGGTGTTTTGTGATGAGTCTCTTGAGAATAGGGTAATACTGTATCACAGGGTAAGAAGTGTAAGAATGAATATACCTGTTGCCTTTGAGCCAATAGGACAGAGTAGAACTATCCCGTAGAGTTTCCAAGGCTTTACAGAAGCAGACTGTCACATCTTTCTCCTGCAGAGCTGCTGGTGAGTTCAAACCACTGACCTGATTAGCAGCCAAGTGCTTAACTACTGCACCATTAGGACTCCTTAACAATAAATATAGAAAGAGTTAATGCCAGGAGTGAGAATCCCGGAATAGGAATATTGGACTACCCAAGGAAAACAGCTTCCCAGCCCCCCCCCCCTTTTCCATTTAATCCCATTAATTGTTGAGCTCTCCCAGTTACAATAAATGGCAAGGTAATATATTCAGTTGGTACTAGAATTCAGAAATCCCCTTTTTGTTATATATGCATATCTATATATATCTATCAGAGCTCTGGTGGCATAGTGCCTAAGGCATCTGACTACTAATTAGAAGGCTGGTAGTTCAAACCCACCAGCCACTCCTCAGAAGGAAGATTGGGCAATCTACTTCTGTAGTGATACCACCTCGGAAACCCAAGGAGGGGTTGCTATGAGTGGGATCCGACTCGCTGGCAGTGTGTCTCCAAAACCCATTGCCAGGGAGTCAATTCTGAGTTAGAGCGACTCTAAAAGAACTGCCCAATAGGGTTTCCAAGGCTATTTTCATATTCCCACTACACTTTCTCCCATGAATTAGCCAGTGGGTTTGAACTGCAGATCTTTCAGTTAGCAGCTGAGCATTTAACCACTGTGCCACCAGGGCTTCCTCACATTGTCTTTCTCTCTCTCTGTATATGGTATATAGTAGCCAATCTCCAAGCGTAGTGCCTAAGGCACTTGACTGCTAACCAGAAGGCTGGCGGTTCAAACCCACCAGCCACTCCCCGGAAGGAAGATTGGGCAATCTACTTCCGTAGTGATACTGCCTTGGAAACCCAAGGAGGGGTCGCTATGAGTCAGGTCCGACTCGACGCCACATAACAACCACAACCAATCTCCAAGATGGCCCCCAGTGATCTCTGCCCCCTGATATTCTCATCTTTGTGTAGTTCCCCCCCCCCCCCCCCCGCCAATCCCAATACTGAATTGGCCTGACCTGTGTAATGAGTAGGATTTTGCAGAAATTATGGTGTGTGAATTCCAAGGCTAAGTCATAAAAGACATTGCCGCATCTGCCTTATGCTCTCTTCGATCACTCACTCAGAGAAGCGAGTTGCCATGTCATGAGGACACTCAGCAGCCCTGTGGAAAAGTTATCTTGACAAGGAACTGAAGCATCACACTAACAACCGGTACTGGTTTGTCAGCCAAGGAGCCCTGGTGGCACAGTGGTTAAGCACCTGGCTGCTAACCGAAAGGTCAGCTGTTTGAACCAACCAGCTGCTCCATGGAAAAAGACATGGCAGTACACTTCTGTAAGGATTATAGCCTTGGAAACTCTGTGGGGCAGTTCTGTTGGGTCACTATGAGATGGAATTGACTCAACTCACAGCAACAGGTTTGGGTTTTCTCAATTTGCCAGGCATGTTAGTGAGTCATCTTGAAAATGGTTCTTCCAGCCCCAGTCAACCATTCAGATGACATAGGCCCAGTTGGCATCTTGACTGCAACTTTGTGACACACTCTAACCACCTAAGTCAGATACAATAAATGTTTACTGTTGCTTTAAGTAAATTGTAACTGTTTGGGTAATTGTCATGCTGCAGTAGATAACTAATTATACTAAGTTTGGGAAAGTAATGGAGAGAGGAATGATTTAGATCTAGGGATGTGTGCCCTGGAAAACTGAGTCTGAAGGAATGATATTCTGATTCTAGGATCAGATGTACAGTATACTCAGAGGTAATGAGCAAAGTCCAAGTTTTCACTAAGGAATCTCCACACAGGTCATAAAGCCTCTTACAGCACACCTCCTTTTCTCCTAGCACAAAAATAACATACTGAAGAATCCCTTCTTTTCTTTTTTCATCCATTTGTAGCCTCTACTAATTTTTAGGTACCCACTGATTTACTACTTTCTAACCT